TGAAATGATATTTGCACATCTTTTATTACATTTAAATAAACTTGCTAAATAATTAGAAAGTCTCACATGAGAGTTACAAATATCACTCAGTCTCAATTTAGATATGAGATTACTTGAAAGCAAGAAAAAGACAAGTTTGGGGAAATTGATATGATATAAATTTATGTTATTTTCATGTTTAAATGCTATATTTTCTTCTCTATTTATTATAATTTTATGTTTTTGAAATTTATTTTTGATAGTATTTTGCATGTTACAGAGGTTGAATATGCATTGCAGAGCGAAAACATGAAGCTAACAAGGTGTTGGATTGGCATAATTATGTCACTATGCAGCTTAATTATCCCAGTTTTGCTATTTTGGTGATACCATGGAGCTATGTCCGACTAACTACGTCAGGCGTTAGTGTAGCTATGCCGACCTATAGTGTATCTAAGTCGGGCACTGGCATAGCCATGCAAAGGCCCGTCGAGGTCATTTTTGGTAACCTATTCAGAAATGCATTGGAATGTTCTAAGAGAGTTTGGCAGCACTTTGGAGGTTTCTTTCAGCAGAAGTTGGGGTTTTTGCATCAAAGCCTAGAGTTTTCTTCATCAAAGCCTAGGGTGGTTTTCTTCCTTCTTTCTTTGGGGAGAAAGCTTCTAGGGCTCATTTTCCTTCGAGTTGGAGAGATTTTTGTATTAGAAAGGTTGAGTATTGTTGTGTGAGAAGGATAGTGAAGAGCTTTCATTATAAAGCGATGACTTGGTGTTTGCAAAGAATATTTAGCTTGATTGTAAGTTTTTGTGCTTTATTGCACCTGTATCTTCAAATTTTCAATGAAATATTCCATACTTTTCTACCTCATGTTTCGTAGCTAGTTTTTTACATGCTCCTGTGATGTAAGGGTGGAATTTTTCTCATTATTTTTACCGTGAAGTTTCCCGTAAACATTTTGTCTGTAATTTTTATAAGCTAACGTGCCAACCTTTTAATCCTAACTTACGCCTGATCTTACCTATTAGTAAGTTAAAACCCTATGTGATTTATAACTTCTAACAGTCTCCTAATGGAACAAGTAAGTTAACACACGATAAACTAATGAAAAAGACATTTTCATTAGAAAATTAAAATCTAGATAGAGAATCGAAGGAATCCTAAGAAAAGTTCAATATTTAAATCCCTCTTAACTGTAATATGGTGTTCAACTTTTCTTATGACCTAGACATAGGCTAAGGAGGATTTTATCCCTAGTTATCAAATATCACGTAGAGGTTTATCGGTATCACAAGAGCATAAGCTTCAGCACCTCTCAAGAACTCAAAGTTGCTCCTTACCTTTTATGCTACTGCCATTTTGTTTGCTACTCTACTCTGTTTTGCTCATCTTTTTAAGACTGTTAGATTTTGATCTTTGTCATTTTGATCACTTCAAACTAGATTCAGCCATTTAGTACACTAGAGCTCCTTATGTCATAAATGTTTTGACAATTTTTCTTGTGGAATCGATACGTGGACCCTATATCTATATATTACTTGATCAACATTTATAATTGTTTGAATAAACGATTGCTTTGCAGTAATTTCAGGCACCATGCTACTATATTCATATTAAATGGCTTTGTAGAGAGACATTTGCAATTATGAAGACTAGGTGTCACACTTCTACCCATCATCAACCTTGCCATTTAAAAGCTTGTTGCAAGTACATATATGGGGAGGGGCATTTGAAAAAGCATATAAATTGAGCACCTCCAAACCCTTTTTCTCCATCCCTACTTAGAGGTCTATCCGAATATCGTGATCTTCTAACAGACTAGAAAATAATAAATCATGAACAATGCAAACTCTTTTTTGTTCTAATTTGATTCTTTGAATTGGTGGTAATAGCATTTATAAAATCTTTGGTGACATAACATTCTCCAAGCTTAGGTTTCCTAGAAACTCTTGTTCACCCACCCTTATTGTTAATGATGTCAGGTGCATCCTCATCCTCCACTACCATTGCATCTTCTATGTACCGAACCAAATAGACTTCATTTCACCTAACTAAAGTGTAGCCTCAGACCAAACGAAATCCCTTCCCTTCTGTGTCAACCGTTCAAGCTCATCTTTCCTTTTTTCTGCAATCGCTCCCACCAACTTCATCATTTCTAATACAAATTAACCCAACATGTGATCCCAAATGACTTTGCACCTTCACTCACGAAAATCTCGCAACCTTCCCACGCAATCCTTCCGCTCTCCAACACCGATTTCTCGACTGCTTTTAGCAGCGAATTAAGATCTCGTGACATTTGGGCATTATAACATGCAAACCTTCCCCTATCTAGCCGCCAAACCTTTTTTTTGAGTCAGCCTCCTCTCCTTTCAATACCCTAACCGCAAGTTCTGACATTTGGTCGCTCTCCCTCCTTAGCCTACCAAGTACTGCTAATAGCAATTAGCTTCCCTTCTCTCATCCCCCTAACTTTTTTCTTCACTCAAAAAATATATGAATAATTTTTATCAAGAGTTATTATCATAATTGCTCCCTTATATATATATATATATATATATAAGAGCAGCTCATGGCTCCTTACGCATTAATAAAATAAAAGGTTACAATGTTGGGGAGGGAACATGAATCCCCGTCTAAAAAAGACATATAAAAATATACGGTTTAAAGGATCCTTAAGGTGGATTCATTTATTTATTTATTTATTTACTATTATTTTTAATTTTTTTATAACAATTTTAACTAATTCGACTAAAGATAAGCAGGCTAGGTAGATCATAAATAATTGACATACTTGCTAGTATTATTATTATTTTTTATCTTGCTTTCAATTAATTGAATGTTCTATTGCACAAGACCTTCAAACGAAAATCCATTGAACATCATTGGTTGAAACTCAATTTAATTAGGAGTACTACGTCACACAACTCGAGGTAAAAAGTTATTTGTTAGAGGATAAACATACACTTCATTGTAAAGGGCGTTATACCAGCCATTTATCTTCAATTCATAGAAATTTGTAGGTTTGACAATCCTACTCCAAAAAATCCCATTACTTTTACACATGATAAAAATTTTATTTTTTTTATGTTCATTATGAATTGCAAGAATAGTTTAGTATTGCTTCATTGATGCATAAATTTTTATTTATTCAATTAATTCTTGTATTTGTAGTATTTATAATTTATGAATATTATCTATGTTTTAATTTAATTTTTACAATTCATATTTGTATAAAATTAATAGTAGTCATACTGCTAAAAATATTTTTGATAGTTACTTGCTAGTGATATTTCTAATATAGGTGTATTAAAATAGTATTATGTTAGAATTAAGCCCTATTAAGCTCTTTGTTAATGACTAGCTATATTGATAGGTCCTATGATAGAATATTGGATTTTCATTAGATTGGTGTTTATTTTTTCTCATTTATATGATGTCATAAAAAATTGACTACATACGTATATATACATGCACTTTTATATTCAAATATCATTAGGTAGAGATAAATTATTGATAAGTCATGTAAAGATGAATATATAAGTATATTTGACATTTTAACATGAAAGCTAGAATAAAAAATGCATCTTATAATCACTCATATTTATGAGCATAAATATAATTATACTCTAGACTATGTGAACCTATGATACTTTTATTACAAAGTAACCTAAATTTGGAACATTATATGACATTGATTATCCCGTCAAAACATATACAATATATTATCCCTTTTATGGTGTGTATATTGTATGTCTCATTGTCTTATTGTTTACTGTTTAATAGATATCAATTATTTGTTAAGTTTGAATCTTCAAACTCACTCACTGATATTTTTTTATAGCAGGTTCTACCCGTGTATTTGGTGGATGTTGTCAAAAAGTAGATTCTTCAATACTAGGCTATTTCTATAATTTCAATTATTGTATTTTTTTGGGTTTAAGTAATGTAGCTTATTCATTTGTTGTTTTAATTCTTTTTAATTAGTTCCATGTTCTTCTTACACTAAACCAATAATTGATTCTTATTTATTAAGAAATGAATAAAAATTTGACTTTTCTTGTTTAACTTTGTTATTTGTATTCTTTGTATACAAACATTTCATTGCGGGTACAAAATTAGTTTATGTACTCCTTCATCAAATCCGGTGTTGCTAAAGTGCACCATCTTCTGGACAACGTGTGTGACATTTTATTCCTTCTAAGCCCTCGAAATATCCTATTTTAGATCATGAGTATAAACATCCTCGTCGAAATATTTCTCCTCCTTTATCAACAAAATCTGAGGGTCCGAGTTTCGCCTTATCAAGAAATCTTTTGTTAGAAGTTTGTTTGGCATCGGAGCCATGCTCAACAACCACTCTTTTCATTTAGCAAGTTTGCATGCACAAGATAAAGACAGTTGATTTGCTATCAGCTAGAGACATTTAATGCAAACATTGTGCCCTTTGTATGTGTTTCCTTCCAGGAAAAATGAACATTTTTTTCCCACAGCCCAATCTTCAAAGTTGTTTTCTCCTTTATAGTATAGCTTTATTATTTGCCTTAACTACCCAAGCCTTTCATCCCTCATTCACCAAGTCACATTCACTTGTGTCCCATTAGCATTTTGTAAATAACTAATTATATTTTTTTTTCATTTTTATTTAATAAACACACTATATTTGATTTAGAAAGTTTGGTAAGGGATCACATGCACCCATCTCGAGAAGGAAGGGAGTGTGGTGGCAAGGGGTGTTGAAAGCCATCACAAATGAGGTACCAATCTAGCAATGTGGATGACCCCGATGGCTTCATCTAAGACTATTAACTTGAGCCAACATCTTTTAGTGCCTCAGTTACTCTTTTTTTAAGTCCTATTTTCAGCCTTATTCCATGGTTTATTTTAATTAAGGCAATTGTACGATAAGTAACGAGTGTCAAATTTAACATAATAGCAAGAGAAACTAAATTCAATAAAAAACAATCTTCCAGCTACTTAAAACGTTGAGATTCAGAGGCAGCGGAGCACCGAAGACAGCATACCTTGTAGATGCTGTCGGATGAAAACTACTAAAAGAAGCAGCGAGAATGGAAGAACCTGCTCAATGCACCTAGCAGCCTGCTGTATATCGTATCTCTGGTATGCTGAATCCCTAGCATTACCTCCTGCTACGCTCCCTTCCCCTTCCACACTCTGCCCCCCAACGCCCAAAACCGATGGAGACTGCGTAGCTCCGGCAAAAGTGGAGACTCCAACTCCGGCATCACTGCTCCCTCCATCTCCTCTCTGTCTCTCTGAATCCATCTGCATCTGCTCCATAGATACACCATGATCTCCAAGACTACCCTCCCTGAGCGGGCCAACAGACAGTGGCTGCTGAATACCAGCGCTCGTTCTTGGATTCTCCTGATCGCCAACGTCAAAGATCCTAATGGATACTTCCCCGTCCCTGCTATCAGTGACAAAGGATTCGTCCACCTGACCGGGAGCACGCTCCCCTGTGCTGGCGATGATTCTACGGCCGCTCAAGCTCTCACTCTCTAGGTGGACTGATCTCGGACGAAGAATCCCAGAATACTCCAGCAGAGCAGACAACGGAGCCTGGATCAAATCGGAAACCGAAAACGGCAAACCGTATCTCCTAGAACCACCGCCGGCACCGTTTCCTCCGATGGTCGAACCAGCCGGACTTCTGAAAAAGTCTGAGTTACCACCGGAGGCGCTCATATTGGGAGAAGAGCAAGAAATAGTACGCGATGGACCACAATTTGCCGGCGGAACCGATGAAAGGTCGGGACACAGAGCGCGGCTCCTGCGAACGGCCAGCTGAATAGATGGAACCCTAACCCTCCTGGCCTTCGATCAAGCCGGGCACGGCGAGCGAGAGAGAAAGAAAAGAGATGTACCCTTTTCCTGAAAAAAAAAAATAATAATCTATCACTTGCCGTTCCACTTCTCCGGCTCGCAGGAGAAAAGCGAGTGTCGCAGAATGGTCTTTACCAACGCCCCAACGCCCCAACGCCCCAACGCCCCAACGCCCAACGCTCTTTGGATGCCGGCTTTGGGTTTCCGCACAACGTGCACCAGGAACCTACCTACGATGGAAAAAAATATTTACATAGTGCACTTAGAGGAACGTGCGTACCCAATGAAATCACGTCAAGATATCCCGCGCGAGTATTTCTCTCCGTGTTATTCATGTGTTATTGTGTGCTATTCATGTGTTATTGTATCCTGAGAATATTTCTGATGTTATAATAGCACAATAACACATGAATAACACATGAATAACACACAATAACACAAGAATAACACGGGAGAGAATATTTCCCTGTGTTACTGCGTCGTTTTTTTCTCTGTCGGGAATATTTCCCGTGTTATTCAAGTGTTATTGTGTGTTATTCATGTGTTATTGTATCCTGAAAATATTCTTGGTGTTATAATAACACAATAACACATCAATAACACGCAATAGCACATGAATAACGCGCAATAACACATGAATAACACAGGAGGGAATATTATCCGTATTACTGCGCCGTTTTTTTTGCTCTACCGCGCGAGATGTCGTGGCGTGTTTTGATTGGCTACGCATTTTACGTGCGTAGTACTGATGTAATATTTTGGGCATTTACATACATGCCAACCAATTTTTGTGCATGTAGTTTATCTTAATAAGTTCACTGATTATTTGGAGTGTTTATTTAATTCAAGAAAATTAAAAAAAATTTATTTTGGACCCACTTACATACACTTTTGGTAGGGGGAGTGTTTTGATTGGTTTACCGTACGTATTTCTGCGTACAGTGAACGTACATAATAATTTTTCGATTATTTGGAATACACACGAATTGAGTGCTATGTATTTAAATCTCTTTTTTTTTTTTTTTGTAAACAGAAAAGAATTGAGCGATATGTATGTAAATCTTTGATTTGTTAAAAATTTTTATTTCATTGGATGTGCAAATATGCATAAATTAGGTGGTATTTAAGTAAATCTCCCTTTCTCTCTCTATTATTAGGCATGCGCGAAGGATAAGAAGAAAAGGGGGAAGATGAGTACCTGGCCGAAGTGTCACCGGAGGAGAGTAGGGGGTGAAAGACGAGGGTTACCTTTCTCAGTGGTTTCGAGTAGAAGCAGAGAGGAAGTGAGTGAAAGATGAGAGTTTCAAAGGTCTTCGTAGGCCGCGGTCCCGTAGTTAGCATCCCAACTAGCTCTAATCGCGATCGTATCGCTAGGGTTTTGACCACGAAGGCGGCAGTTTTTGGGCGGAGCCGGTAGGAAGGAGAAGTGGGCAAGGGTTTTTGGGCGGAGCCGGGAGGAAGAGAGAAGATACGCTAAGATGGCAACAACGTCAAATAGAGAAGGAAACGTGGGACGGCGGGGCTCCACCCGCGGCCCACGTTTAGTTAAACAGTGAAACGACATTGTTAAATAAGCTTGTCGAACGTTTATTCCAAACAGTGAGATAGCGTTTTCAAAACACTATAGCAGTTGATAAGCTGCCCCAAACGCGCACTCAGTTGTTTGCGTTTATACAATCTAAATTATTTTTCACATTAAAATAACACTTTTAACATTTAAGAAAATGAAATCCACTTTTGTCGATATAGATAAGATGACACACAAGTAAAAATAAAATTTTAGGTGTTAGACATGTAAATACGAAGGAATCGAGCGATGTAAATCTTCGTTAAACATATACAAAGAAGGTTGTTTGATTTAAGTTTGCCCAAAAGAATGAAATTAGAATAAAAGAATAAACTAAATTTAATACATTTAAAATGTTTAGAAATTTTAAATTTCATAACAGATGTAATCAACCAAACTCATGATATTTCATACCCTTACTTGTAACCAAAGCAATAATCATTGATTCCATAATTTATGTTAAACCTTCAAATCATATTCTCTTGTGCTTAGCATATTAAGAGGATCTCAGGACATACATGTTTTAGGATTTGCTAATACATGTGATTATTCGACCAATTTTCGATACGTTAAGTATAGAAGTTTACATTTTTGCGAGGATTTGATTGATTTTTTAGAATTTAAGTTAATTTAGTTGTGGTGGATTTGATTTAAATGATTTGGATGAGAGGTATATTCCTTATTTCCATCATATTTTATTATGGATGATGTAAACATATTTCACAGTTTAAATTGATAAATACATTTAGTGTTAATCAAAACATAAGTGAGAATGTTAAGAAAAAAGTTCTTTAAAAAATGTCGTAAAGCCACAAAGACAACTCCATGGAGGAAAAAAGAAGAAGAGAATAAGAAAAAATCAAAGTACGTTGTAGCAATATGTTATGATAAAGAAGAAGAAGAAGAAGAATCTAAGATACTACCAATTCATATATATATATATATATAT